TCTTTTGAGGCACACGAAGTCACCTTTGACAATGCCCCAAAGGTTTGTCTGGCACTTTAGTATGATATGGTCCAATATTGTGTTGGCTTAGGATACAAAAAGGTACATAAAGTTGAGGCTTAGACCCCCCCCCCCCCCTCAGGCTGGAGCTGGACAAAGGGTAAACACGGAGTGGTTTGGGGAGATGGGAAGGGTGTGGGCTTGAGTTCTTGTTGACAGAGGTTGTTGGTCATGAGTGGACCCTGAAGTGCAAAGGGTAGTTCAAACCCTGAGACCGGGTAGCAGCTGCCATGGTGACCTCCGTCTGCCCAGTTCAACAGTTCACTGCTCTGAAACTACAACTGGATCTCCCTCTGGGCCCCCTCCACAGAATCACTAGCTGAGATATACTTCTGTTTTAATATCAGAGAAACTTCTGAATTATTGTTTTTATTAATTATTTTTATTAATTATTTTATTTATTATCATTTATTTATTATTACCATATTACTTGGTAAAATGGGATGTTATGCCCATTTTAATTTAAACTTTATTACACATGCCCTAGGAATTAACACTTTTTATAATAATAATAATAATAATGTGTTAATAGTCTTTTGAAATAAAAAACTTGTTTGAGAATAAAATGTACTTTGACATATGTATTAATTTTTACAATGAAAGTAATATTATGCATTCCTTTCAACTCGGCTTAAAGAAAGAGGCTGTAGGGTGTCTTAATAATACATTATATGGAATAAGCATGAATATTTGCATTTTATGAATCACAGGCCCTTTAAGTGGTAAATATGGCTGGTTTGATTCCACTTCCACTTTGTGTATTTGAATTTACTGTAATTTTCCATTGACTGCAATTATGCTTACCTTTGCTGGATTTTTGATAAATCAAATTTTAAGGCATTTTTATTATTTATATTTGTAAATGGAGCTAAAAATTTCAAGTCAGTCTTTTGTCTACTTTTTGTCACAAGAGGCCAGTAGGTCTCTCCTCAGACTTCACCTTCATCTCCCCACCAAAGGCACATTTGAGGTAGTCACCTACTGATGTTTTGTTCTTCACCAATAGCTCTCAACATTACCAGTGCTGCAGCCCTTTAGTAGAGCTCCTCATGTTGTGTTGGACCCCCAATCATAAAATTATTTTGTTGCTACTTCATAACTGTGATTTTGTCCCAGTTATGAATCATAATGTAAATATCTGGTGTGCAGGATATTTGATATGCAACCGCTAAAGGGGTCTCTATCCATAGGTTGAGAACTATTGCTCTAGACTATGTCACCCAAAATGCACGTTGAAGCAATTAATTCTTAATACTTTGGAGTGTGATTGTTTTTGGAAATTGAGCCCTTAAAACTGGACATTAGATTAAAATAAATCCTAAGGGTAGATCATAACTCAGGATGCCTAGTGTCCTTATAAGATGGTCTCAGCAAAGAGGCCTCGAGAGGCCGCTGGATGAAGCTGTGAGGGTAAGGCCTAAATCACAAGAAAGACTTCAGGATACGGGAGAGGAGAGGTCTGTGAGGTGTCCATTAATGAAAGGTCCAGACATAGAGCGGGCTTGCCAAAAAGAGACGCTTTGTGTACTCTGCGTGGCAGAGCTGGTAGGGTGCCACCCAGTGTCTGCTTCTCCCTCAGTGTATCCAGGCCCGTTGCGTACCAGGCTGGGCTGGAGGGAGTAAAGCTTAGCTGGGTGTGGGCGAGTGTAGTGCAGGGTCTCCACCTGCAGCAAGCTTCAGACCACTGGTTCGGTTTGGGGAGGAGGTATTTATGACCCTGGGGCGGTGGCCAGGGTCTCTGGTTTGTGCGGTTGTGTACTGTTGGCCAGGGCAGGGTTGTTGGAAGATGCTTCATCTACATACTCAGGGGCTGTAGGGTGGAGCTGTGGGGACCTTACCAGGTCAAACAAGGAGTGAAGCCTGGTAACTGTCAGGAAATAAAATTCTTACTAGGGTTGATGGTGGGGAAGTCAGCTTCGTGGAGCCAAGTTGGGAGGGGGAAGGTAGCAGACACTGGTCTTGTCCGGATGGATTTTGATCTTATTATATCCTAATTCTTCCATCTTGGAGTTCAATATTTCTTCTCTGCCATGCTAACCTGGAAGTATGTAGTTTTTGCTGTTGTTTTAATTTTATTTTATAGGAGTTTACAGTTAAGTTGCCTTGAGTCTCAGATGGGCTGTGAGCTGCATTTTTATTTATTTTCTTTTTTGACTTCAGACTTTTAAACCTGGCTACGAATACATAAAAGTTAGAATTTATTCTGTGCTAGTGAAATTCAGTTGAGACTTTGGGAACACAAGATGGAAGATTATTGTTCAGAGTAGTGTGTTCACATGTTGTGTTCTAAAAAGTCTGACCCACCTTCAGCACACCTGATAAATCAGAGAGAAAAGTCTTTCACAGAGGGAAAATGAAAGGTGGAATTTTGACAGTTAATCTCAGTTGTCAACTTGATGAAATCTGGAATAATCCGGAAGATGGCTTCTGGTCATACCTCTGTGACATCACCATGAGTTGAGATGGCAATTGGATTCCATTGTGTGTTTGGGGGAGGGGGGGCATGGAGACATTCTAGGGATCTTGGCCAGGTTTGTTTTCTTTGCCAGTTAAAGAAATAGAAGGCGGGGAAAAAAAAAAAAAAAAGATCTGGAGTGTAACAGAGGGCAGTGGAGAATTCAAACATCACAGACAGCATCAGCAGTTGAATAGAAACATTTATTGGGGGTGAGGGAACACAGACTTAGAGAAAAAGACCCTCTGCAAAACATAGGGGATATTCAGAAAGCAGAAAAATCCAGTCTGTTCCAGGGAGCATTTGTTGTTGTTTTGTTTTTTGTCTCTGAAAAATTTTTCTCCTATAATTTAGGGTTGATCAGTTTGAAGAAAGGATAGGATTTGATTGGCCCACAACTGTGGTGTAACCTGCCCTAATCTGGCCATAAACTTGTTGAGCCAGTCCTTTCAGCAGCAGGCCTTCTTGGGGCAGAAAAAAGACTACAGGGCTTTGTTTTAAGCTCCCAGGCTTTGTCTCAAGTTAGGAGGGTGAGGAAGAAGCTGGCCATTATGGGGGTTCACTACTTTTATTACCTAGCCGTTGCCTCTCTCCCTATCTGTTTGCCTACTAGAGTGCCTCATTTTAGCACCATTTCCTGGAATGGGATCCTGATCTGCATGAAAAGGAGACAGTTAGCTGAGTTTTGGGGAGATTCTTTTGCTTTATTTGCAGTGGATGAATCTACTTCAAATCTGAACCTTTGAGGTGGGACAACATAGAGGCCAGAAGACACACACTGTTAATCCCGATTTTCAGGCAGGAAGATGCACCTTTAATCTGGGTCATACCTTCTGTGGGAAGTCTATGTAAGGACACAGAGAAGAAGGATGCTTTTGTTCTCTGCCTCCTCGCCCTTTCCTTGGCAGCCTATCCATTCCTTCACTGGCATTAGAGCTCACTTTGGGACGCCAGCATAAACTGAAGACCAGCACAGACACCAGCCTTGTAGACAGAGCAGCTGCTGGATTCTTAGACTTTCCATTCATAGCTAACTATTGTTGGATTAGCTGCGCTGCAGCCTGTAAGTCATTCCAATAAATTCCATATACATGTGTGTGTCCATATAAAAGTTCATGTATATGTATATGTTCATATATGAAAGTAGCATCTTTGGTTGTGGAATGAAAATTGAGTTTTGTGATGATAGAAGTGATCTTGATCTTCTGGTATGATACTTCAAACAAGTTAATAAACAATCTCTTTATCATAGTCTAAGCACTCAGAACTAGATAAGTCATTACAAAAGAATGCTTTTCTCACCATTGTTTTAAGTTATTGAAACATGTGTTTCAGCCTGCACGATCCACTTGCCACTCTTTTCCCTCAAGGTACTAGCTGTATGGCAACTTGAGTGGAGCATTTGTAGCCCGAGAGGAGAGAGCTCTCTGGTACTTTCTTCTGTGACAGTGGATGGGTGTGGCCAGTGCACGGTCACATCTGTTCTCCCTTCATCCTTCTGAACAAAACTTCTGGCTTACAGTTCAGCCGGGGCTTACTGACAACTATTAGCATCTCACACTGTCTTGCAACTTGTTATGACATGACTAACTACAGGGCAGTGAGTATGTGTTGGAAGACCCTGCTATTGAAGGTTAAGTCCTGCCATGTCCAGACAGCTCTCCTGAGCCTGGTGCTGAAAGGAGGACTTCCTTTCTCAGCAGGGGGCTTCTTTCCCTCTGCTTGAATTTATCTGGAGAGTATCTCTAAGCCCAACCTCTACCCCTGAGGGAAGTCATGTAGCCCATGGCAAAATGCAGGTTCATTTTCTTTCTCCCAATAAGAACTTGCTGGACAAGTATCTGGAATTCCTGGTATGTAAATAAAGCATTCCAGGCACTGTAAACCCCAGCGAATACACCTTCCCTGGGGACCCTCCACCTACTCCCCAAGATCTATATAGCCTTTGTTCACCCCAAATCAAGCTGAGATGTCTCCCTGAAGCTGGCCCCAGGAAGTTAGTCCATCATGCTCATGGCCCCCCAAACCCTACAAGCACCCGCCTTCCCTCTGCTCCTTTTTTTTTTTTTCCTTATAGACTGGTGGCCAATCATGGTGGGAGCGCAGGTACGGAAAGAGGGATCTAAGCTGCTGGGTTCAAATTGATTTCTTAAATATAAAATAACATCTTCTTCGTGGTCTTTCTACCCTCCCACCAGATGGCATGTGATTGCTAGACCCTCCCCCACCAAAGGGGAGGAAGGCTAACAACATCTGGGTAGAAGGACAAGAATGTAGAAGGAATATGGGGTAATGACTATGACCACAGGGGAGCTTTGGAATGCTTATTTACAGAGTTGTTACAGTGAAAAGGAATATATTGTTCTGTTTCAACTATATCATTTTTAGACCTTGATTTTAGTGACTGATAACTACAATGTGTAAACAAAAAAACCCTTTAGGCTTATATGGTGTCAAATGTGTAATATAAACAAGACAAGAAACATACTTTTAAAGATATTTAATGATCTGTCTTTCAAATCAGTACAAAAATTTAAATACAAAATTGATTTACCTTTAAGTCTCAAATCTATTCATGGAAACTCAAACAAGTTACCAGTCTTTTCATCATTCTTTGTTTCTGTAAAATACTTGAGGACAATTATCCTCTACAGACATTCTCTTTCCCTGTGGGATGTCATACTGCTTTAAAACTCTCTGTTTAAATAGAACAATGCCATTTGGTCTATTTCACATGGAAAAGCTCTAGTTAACTTTGAATTAAATAGGGATCATAGTACTGTTTCTAGACTGTAGAACATATAGTTGTTTCATCTGCTTTCACACTAATGTGTTAACATGATGTACAACACTCAAAAGGGAAACACAGGTACGGTACATAGATAATTATTTAAAACTCTTCTTTAAATTAAATGGAGTATCATTTAGCTCTGATATTAGCACCATGGTAGAATATACAGTATCTGGCATAGATTTTGCTCCTCCTCCATGTAAAAGTTTAGAAGCATATGCCTGATAATACACGCACGCACACACACGCACACATGCACACACAGAGGCAATTGAGTAACAACCAATAAATAAGTTGGAAGATATCTGAAAAAGTGAAATTTGGCTTAACTTAGATAGTCTCTTTCTTCATGGAAACTAAGATACCATACATGCACAGATAAAAGCGACTTTACAACCCATCTGGCCTGACTGTCCTCCAGATCATTTCAATGTAGCCATTTAGCAGAAAGAGTCCAGGAACCCATATGACTTTTATAGTGACCAGCTACAAGCCAGTGTCCTCCAGGAACAACCCCAAGGAGAGCTGTCCACAGAAATGCTGATTACTTTGCAGGTAAAGGCTAGGTAGGACATCTTTTGGATGAGAAAGTGCTTTGAATAATTAACAATGAATGAGAAACCTTGTGCTAATAAACACGTTTGTCTTAAAATGCAAGAAGAAATGGTGCCTGTGCATCATAAAGGGAAAAGACAAATATTAAGCCAGCACAAGAAAAATTGTGGTGGTAAAAATAATTCAGATTTGAAATAGACCATGTTGTATACTGTATTTATTTGTATATTTTCCAATCTATGTCTATCTCTTCAACTCCTGACTTTTAATTTTTAAGGAAAGTAGATTAGATCCTATCCCTGTAGTCCCACATTAGTTCCCTAAGCAACTCGTAGCAAATGAACAGTAAACTTCCAACTGTTTGTACTTTGAGCAGTGCCCAAAGAACCTAGTATGTGCCCTAGTGAGAATATTAAAAAAAAAAAAAAATCTCCTTTCAAACGTGTTCTGGCTGTGGCACTGAGTGTGCGGTGACATTCTAGGCATGGGGTGCCATTGCTTTATGACATTCCAGCTATCTCCTCCACAGGCTGATGTTAAAGAAACAGTTATCGTCCTACAATTTTAGTTTCTATGCTGGACACAACACACCTGCTTTTAAATATCAAACTTTATAATTACTCTTTTAAAATATAATTTTTTTCTATGTAATTCTGAATGCTTTTTCCCAAATTAAAAAAAAAAATGGCTTGGATTTTGGCAAGTGACTTTGGACCCTCAGATGACATATCTATAAAATTCATAGTTCATGGGAAAAAAATCAGAGCCACTAAAACGTGCAGAAAAGTTGAAATCTTACTACAGTTGGCTGTGTGGGCAAATTAGGGTGTTTTTTTTTTAATGTGTGTAAATCAACATATAATTGCTATTAATAATAAATGTTCACAAAGTGGTAAAGTTATTTGAAGGAAGGCTTTTAAAATTTTTGTTTATATTGATTAGGCCATATTATAAATTACATGGATGGATGGAAGAAGAGAAGGAGGAGGAGGAGGAGGAGGAGGAGGAGGAGGAGGAGGAGGAGGAGGAGGAGGAGGAGGAGAAAATAAAGTTACAGAAAAGTGCCAAACTGAAACCTTTTAGATGAGTTAATACAGCAATGTCTCTGAGCTAAATTATGAATTCCTGTGGGCTCTGCCCTGTGTCACATACCAGCATCTCACCCAGTGCTCAGCAAAGAGAGTGCTGAGCAAATACACAATGGGCCATTGATACACCTGCTCTTTTGGGGAGACCACACACACACAATTCTGACTAGGTAGTCCCGCAGCTAAACGCACAGCCTCTAACATGGAGAAATATCTTTGGACTAGAGATTACCATGGTCTCTGCACTACAGAACAACCCTCCGACATCCCACAGCAAAACCTCTGAACAAGTAGGAAATTATGCAAATAAATACAGTATGTGACTGTCACCACTAACCTCTCCAGGCATATTCACAATACTTTTTTAAAGAGAGCACAAGGAATGGATGACTTTCATTAGCTATGATATTCCAGACTATCATATTTTGACTGATTTGAGTAAGCAGGTTATGAAATCATATAACATGCAATAGCTAATATGAGTCCAGTGGGTACAAGACAAGTGTCAGTACTTGATCCGTAAACCTGTCCCATCATTCTGTTACAACCTGCTGTGCACAGTATTAAACATGCATCTTCGTTGTTTTTTTTTTTTTTTTATTTGTACATGATGGTCCAAACTTTCACTTAAATATAACTTTCCAACTCTATAAATGTTTTGAAGCATTATTTTCAATTGGATTTTTTTTTTTTTTTTTTGGTGTCTCATTTTCTTTTTCTTCTATTAAATCTCTCTTTTTCTTTGTTTTTATTTTTTTTACATGGGATACAATAAATATCCTGAAAAGGAGGAGTGGACATACTGCCCGGCGTACAGTCCGGCAGCCTGTTCCGAGGGCATTTGGAGGAACACCCGGTCTCCGGGCCGGAGCAGCAGCACGGCACTTCCAGACGCCTGGTCCAGAAAGCCCTTCTTATACTCGTCATACGTGTACATCATGGGCTCGTTGTTCTTGAAGAGAGCAACCCACACGTTGCCTCCCTTGCAGTGAACATGGTAAGCAAAGTAGTAGACACCCGGAACTTCGCAGGTGAAGATGCCGGTCTGCGGATTGTAGTTCTGTCTGCCGTTGTAGAGCAGCTTGTCGAACTTCACCGGGGCCCCCACCGGCGGGAAGGGAGCGGTCAGCTCGGCAGTAAACGCGGGCATCTCATAGGCCGGCCCTCCGTTCTTGCCCTTCTTGCCCGCATAGGCGTGTGGAGGTTTCACTCCATCAATTCCGAGTCCCATATCCGGTAGATACTCTCCCTGGGGTGGCGGCGTAGGCGGCATCACAGCTGGGGGGCCTGGGGGCCCTGGAGGGCCTGGGGGCCCGGGAAGGCCAGGCTGGCCTTGCGGCCCAAGAGCACCAGGTTTCCCCGGGGGACCGTGAAGTCCTGCTGCTCCTGGCTTCCCTACACCAGGGAACCCAGGGGGCCCTGGGAGGCCTGGTTCTCCTTTGGGGCCTGGAATCCCAGGTGGTCCAATAGGGCCACTCGGTCCTGCAATCCCTGGAATCCCTGGGGGCCCCTGTAGACCCTGATCCCCGGGGATGCCTGGTTCTCCCTTGGGTCCAAGCAGTCCTGGCACACCAGGAAGCCCTGGCAACCCCTTGTGACCAGCTTCTCCCTTGGGTCCTATAGGACCGGGCAAACCCCTCATGCCAGGGGGACCCACTTCACCAAGAAAACCTGGCTTCCCAGGGAAGCCTTGGAGGCCTGGCTCACCCTTGGGACCTGGCGGACCCTGTGGCCCTACAATCCCACCTTCTCCTTTGGGTCCAGGGAAACCAATAGCACCCGGAGGGCCCATGGGACCTGGGATTCCGGGTAGGCCTGGCTCTCCCGGGGGACCCCCCATTCCAGGAGCACCTACTGGTCCCTTTTCCCCTCTTGGCCCAAGAGCCCCAGGAACACCGCCAATACCCCGGTCCCCTTTGGGTCCTGGGAAGCCTGGCTTTCCGACCCCCGGGAGACCTGGGGGTCCAGGCAACCCCGGCAGTCCTTGTTCTCCTTTACCACCTGGAAATCCTGGTTGGCCAGGGATCCCATCCTGGCCCGGCTTTCCAACTCCAGGCAAACCAGGAGGCCCTTGAACTCCTGGTACACCAATAAGGCCTTGTGGTCCAGGTTCCCCTGGAGGCCCTGGCTTCCCCAGGGGGCCCTGGGGTCCAGGGAAGCCCGTCACTCCTGGTTTTCCTACTCCCGGTAGCCCAACTGGGCCAGGAGGGCCATGCATACCCGGAGGACCCTTCAGACCTGGCAAGCCAGGCATCCCGAAGCCCTTCTCTCCTTTGGGACCCTGAAGGCCGGGAGGTCCTGGTGGTCCTTTGGGCCCTCTCTCACCTTTTGCTCCTGGTTGCCCTGGTAGCCCTGGCCCACCCGGTTTCCCGATGCCAGGAAGTCCATGAGGTCCTGGAGGTCCTTGTGGCCCTGGGATACCCATAGGCCCTATTTCCCCTTTGGGTCCAATTTCGCCTTTTGCCCCTGGCATTCCCATGGCTCCTGGCTTCCCAGGCATTCCAGGCATACCGGGCTTTCCAATTCCTGGATATCCCTGGGGCCCCGGTTTTCCTTTGATTCCAGGCATTCCGTGACCCGGCAAACCTGGCGGCCCAGGTGGTCCTCTTGGTCCGGGTTCTCCACGGGGACCTTGTTCTCCTCGCAAACTGGCTAAGGGTATTTCTCCTGGAAAAGTGGAGAAAGGGGCGGGGAGATCGGTTATCTCTCATAGTAGCAGGCATTTAATTTTGACACATTTGCCTTATACGTATCAAGTGGGAAGCCAGCAATAATATGTTCACCTTCCCGAGCCTTCCCCTGTGCGGCACCAGTGTTTCAAGGAAAACCAAATGTCAGTTTCTGTGATGTATCTGAGCTGTTTTGAAAACTCTTACATGCAGCTGCTTAGGTTAACACTGGTATAAAAGCTGAAAAATAATTAAACATAGATTTCCCAATTGCAAAAGTTGAAGATACTATCGTGTGTTCATTGTACAAAATTTGGGAAACTTGAACCTGTATAACAACAAAAAGAGCATTGCCATTGGGCCCACTTAGCAGAGACAACCACGTGACGCGGTATTTTCATCCCGTTTGTTTCACAGCTGCAAGTGTGCGTTTTAGAGAATGTAGTAGTCAGATATTTTTTTAAATATTTTTGAACACTTTCTACTTAAAGTTATATTGTATATTATATTTTTCCGTGATCTTCTAATTAATTTAAAGATTTCGCTATAAATTGACAAATTACATGATGTATGTTTCTGGGTTTCAAAGTGATGGTATAATTTATTAATAAAATGTGGACTAATTAAAAGAAGCTAATCACCATTTCTGTCACCTTACCTATTTTTGTGGGGACATCATTTGAAGCTGTTCTTAGTTTTAAACTTGGTAATAGGTATAAAAATAAATAAAAGCAAAGGCAAAACCGTGTTCTTGCTGCTTCCCCAAGCTGTGCGGTTGTCGCCCCCATCCACCCTTCTCCTCAATTTCGTCTGCCCCTTAGCTTCTGCGGTACGAATGACCGACAAACATTCTATTCTCTACTTCTGCACACTGTTATAACGCTGCGTGCCAAGAAGGCCCATGGTGTCTGTCTTTCTGTGCCTGGATGGCTTGCATTATTTTGAATTTAGTAGTGTAGGGCTAAATTATGTTTCCTTGTGTGCTGAGATATGGGTGATGAAAATCATTTTCCCTTGGATCCACGAAAAAGGAAAGTTGTTTTTTTTTTTTTAATTTTGTATGTGGTTTGATAATATCTCTTTTCACCTGTCTCCTAAACCCAGTGAATTTGCTTAGTGTCTCTGATATGCTATAACATTTCTTAAGCCTCAAATATAAATGTTTAAATAATCACTTTTCTTGGAAATTTGAGTTTGACCAAGGGAAGTGAATAAGACCCTTTAGAGTGGCATGCAGTTGAGACAAGTGAAGAAGCTTGGTTTAGGGGTAGGAAGTTTTGCTGATCTTTCTGGCCTAGGTATGAGGTTTTGACTGGGTGACTTCAGCTACTAGCATCCCTGCTTTTCTGTTACTATAGCCAGAATAATACAGTTACACAACATAACCAGAGAATGGATAGGAAAGCTGTCATATCTGTTACTGAGATACAAAGCCCATGTGAGAGTATGCTGTGCCTTGCACGCAAGCAACTCTCTATGTCCTGTGCTACTGCAACAGTGGAGTGTGTGTGGGGTGCATGAGGAAGCAGATATGTGGTTCCGAATTCTTCTTTCAATTATCAGCAGCATTTTTGTCCTATCATTGTGCTATGCAGAACTGTTGCCAGGGAACAAGAGAGAACCCTACAAATCATATTCTTCCAGGATAGGAGTATTCATCTGATTACATGATGCACCAGAAGCCAGGCAGGCCATGCAAGCAGGGAAGGAAGGAAGGAAGGAAGGAAGGAAGGAAGGAAGGAAGGAAGGAAGGAAGGAAGGAAGGGAGGAAGGGAAAAAGACCTATATTGTTTCCTAAATGGCATGCCAGTTTCTGCAGAGTATATTTACATTAACACACACTGTAGTCAGCAAAGAGTAGTCAGGGGAGAATCTGAGAAAGCATCCTAGTTATTATTTTTTAAGTTTTGGTACCACATATGGAGCACAGGGTGTCTCCACACTTGTGATCCTTTTGCCTCAACCTCCTGACTACAGGTACATGCCACCAGCCGACATACCACATTTTCTTGGTCTGGCATCCCCTGATGTACAGTGCCCAGAACACATTCCACTTGGCCCGAGTGTCCAAAATGGTTGGCATCTGCGGGCACTCAAAGCCCCTCAGTGCTTGAGAGCACCTTCAGCACCACTTACCTTACAGCACTGATTCTCTCAACACTCTAATCTTAAAGATCAGGGAAGAGAAGTAATAGCTTTCTTTGATTTCTGGCTTCTAGGTAGCTAGGCATTTTAGTGTCAAATCAAGTAGTCAGAGGTTCCTGCCATTGTGGGGGCAACCAGCGGGGATGACCCCCACTTCTTTTGGGGCGATCACTACTTGGAGGTTCCCATGTTCCCCACAGATGCTATGATTCTGAGAACTGCAGATAAGCAAGCTGAATTTACAGAAAAGTGCCCCACAGCAATGGCTATTTTGTAGCTGTAATAGAACCCAGGCACATTCCTAGAAAGTCACAGGGAATTTTTCTGTGCCTTTTAGCTTCCTGATGGTTTAGTGACTGACTGCAGCACCTACTTTGTGAAATGTCTTCATCGGATTTTTCTGTTGTGGAAGTTTCTCAAAACATTGTTTTCTTATTTTGGAAGATCGACTTTGTCATGTTTCTTTAACCCTCATAGCTTGATCCTTTGCTCCTGAACTTTCTGCATCTGGCTCAGAGTACAAGACCCAAACAGGTGGGTGCTCACTAGATAGCTGATGAATGTTTAAAAAAAATAATAATATGCGTAAGTATATACTGTGGTTAAATATGCTTTGTTCAATTTGATGCTAGCTAAAACAATAAACCAGAAATAAATTATAGGTTTACATTTTTATGATTCTGAGGAGCGAACCCCTCTATCAATGTTTATTTTTAAGTTAAAATATAATTGCATAATTCTCCCCTTTTTCTTTTCTCCCTCAAGCTCCTTGCACGCATACATTATTTCTCTCAAACTCATGGCTTCTTCTTTCTTTAATTATGGTTGCACATATATGTTATGTATGTGTGCATAAATATATAAGTAAAACCTGCTGAGTCTATTTAGTATTGCTTGTATGTATACAATTTCAAGGCTGACCATTTCAAATTCGACAACCTGGCCTTAAAGGCTTTTCCATGTATCTTTCCTTAAATTTAAACTTTGCAAGTATGGCACTTGACTCATAGCAATAACAAATTAAAAAATAAAAGTCTCTAAAAAGTAGTTTCCTCCTCAACTTCTATAGTTTAGGAGGCTGGAGAGCTACTTTGAAACTGTGCAATATGATATTACCTTTGCCTTTCTTGGGTACCACCTCCTTGCCCATTCTTGGTACAGGTTGGATTTCCTTCATATATTGGGGTAAGTGTGGGTACTCTTTGCCATACTGCATGTGGGGCATCTCCTTGCCCATGGAAAGGCCATCTTTTCCCAAAGGCATGTGAGGTACTTGCTGGCCCAGGGGCTGGTACTGTGGAATTTGTGGTGGTATCTGAGGAGGAAGCTGAGGTGGCAGCGGCTTGATTCCATAGTAGGCACCGGCCTGAGTGAGCCTGATGGAGCTCAGGGCAGTGATGAGCAGTAATCCCAGCAGCTGTAGAGGCCCAGGTGGTACAGCCATCACCTGTGGAGAAAGAGACACACCAACAGTGTGAGTACCTCCAGACCAAAAGGCTGCTCCCTGTTTAGAGACACAAGATTAGACATGGTGGGCAAACCCACAGTCTCCATTGTCAGAACTTTAAAAGAGAAAGATCGTAAAATGAAGGTGCTATGTTTTAGTCAGAATTAGAACACACACCAGAGGAGTTGGATCTATCAGACGACAGCAGTTGGTGGAATAGAGTCTAGAGATTGCTAGTGTTTCCAAATACCATAACTTTTTCTAGAATGGCAGAAAACCTGAGTTTTTGCTTGGGAGAGAACAACTCAAAACGAAGACATTCAGGTAGCTGATATGACCAAATGTTGCCAACTCGATATTGTTGTCACAGATGTCTCTTTCTAGGAGGCTTTCTGGATGCAGTGAGTGTGCTCCTCCCTTTCTTTCTCCTTGCTGGCTAGATGCTGATATGTTACCTGGAAATGGACCAGAACCCTTGGACCATGTCACAGAAGCTATGCATTGAGGATTGTAAAGCAACAAACTTGAGCCATAGCTGACCATGAGTGAGCTACATCACATCCTTCAATTTGTAAGAGAGAATCTGAGTTTTGTCTCTTTAATTCACTTTTACTTGGACAGTTTTAACTTCGTTCAATAGTGCTGTCTTACAACTGGCACTTCTGAATGGAAAGTTAAAATGTATAGGCTATGACAGGAGCTGAGATTGATCACCTTCTAAATGCTGTTCTGGATGCTTAGATTTGTCATAAATACATATAAATAAATAAATGTAAACGTGACTCTAAAAGCTACAGAGAAAGGGCATTCCAGTTGATAGTGCTAGAAGGTAATCATAAAAATCACTATCATAATTATGTACTTCTTCCTTCTACTTAAATGCTATGAAGTAATTACTTCAGAATTTGGCTAACTGGACCCAGAGTCCATTAAAGTTTATCTTTGAAGTTTTATGAAGGGGAAGGAGTTTAAAAACCAAATTATTTATATAAATAAGATACAGGGAGATGTCTAATTATTCACAAGAACAAACTGTTTCTAAGCTATTTAATTGTGCTCTTTGCAAGTCAACAGTAAACAGAATAAATATAAATAGGTTTTATTTGTTTACAAAAAACCAGCTTGAGGAGACCTCTGCTTGGTAACACCCTAGGCTGGAGACCAAACAGCTCAGGAAACTGCAATGTGAGCAATCAGACACGAGAGGGCAGGAATGACACACTCAGAAGCCTGTTCAGTGGTCCCCACCCCCACCACTGCCAAACCCTTACTGGCCCTGAGTGGCTGCTGTAAGCTTACACCTTATTAAAGAACTAATTGAATACTAGAAAAGATCATTCTGAGTGAGGTATCCCAGAAGCAGAAAGATGCACACAGTATAAACTCACTTATAAGTGGATACTAGACCTGTAAGATAGGATAAACATACTAAAATCTATACACCTAAAGAAGCTAAGCAAGAAGGAGGTCCCTGGGTAAGATGGTCTACCCTCACTCAGAAAGACAAACAGGATGGACACTGGAAGAAGGAGAAAACAGGAAACATGACTGGAACCTACCACAGAGAGCCTTTGAAAGACTCTACCCAGCAGTGTATCAAAGCAGATGCTGAGACTCTTAACCAAACTTTGGGCAGAGTGCAGGAAATCCTATGAAAGAAGGGGGAGATAGTAGGACCTGAAGAGGTCAGGAGCTCCACAAGGAGAACAACAGAACCAAAATAACTAGGCACAGGGGTCTTTTCTGAAGCTGATACTCCAACCAAGAACCATTCATGGATATAACCTAAAACCCCTGCTCAGATGTAGCCCATGGCAGCTCAGTCTTCAAATGGGTCCCTAGTAAGGGGAACAAGAACTGTCTCTGAGATGAACTCAGTGGCAGGCTCTTTGCCCCCCGCCAAAGGAAGAGCCTCCTTGTCAGGCCACAGAGGAGGACAGTGCAGCCTGTCCTGATGAGACCTGATATACTAGTGTCCAATGGAAGGGGAGGAGGACCTCCCCTATCAGTGGACTTGGAGAGGGGAATGGGAGGAGATGAGGGAGGGAGGATGAGATTGGGAGGGAGTGAGGGAAGGAGCTACAGCTGGGATACAAAGTGAATAAACTGTAATTAATATAAAAAATAAAAATTTAATTAAAAAAAAGAAAATTAGAGTATCAGGATGCTAGAGAATGAGAAGTACCAAGGGTCTCAATCGCTAATGTAACTATTTCCTGGAACACCTTAAAAAGACTTGTGTACAAGTAATTTAACTCCTGTTTCTATGCAAGATTTTTTTTACTGTTCTGCCTAATTTAATTCTGAATTACACTGTTTGGCTTTTTAGACAATAAGTTGCATTTGTGACTTCTTATTCAAGGGTAATGCCAGGAGTCTGAACAGAATACAGAACCATTGGTTAATTAAAAAGAAAAAAATAAAGAAACCAAATTTAATGTGATTCTCTACCAGAAAATTCATTGCTTTCCCATTTTTCTAAATATGCAAATTAATCGTTTTCTTCCTCTGGGGAATAAATGAAGTAACGCTAGTCATTAAAATGATTTATAGAGCATTCTCCACGATACACATCAGCATAGCTGCAAAGAACTGTTTATTTCAAGTGTCTGAATAATACATGTCCTGGTAAGAGAGAGCAGAGAGAGGCCTGTTATTTTCTGTTCCTCTAAATGATTATGTAGTTATTAGAAGCCATTGGGAAAGAACCATGAAATGAATAATGATTTATTTTTATTAATATTAACTTATCTTAGGTATAAAAGAACATCTATTGTTAAACTTCAACTAAAATTTATTAAATTCTTATCAGAAACAAGGCTAGGCCCATCTGAGAATACAAGGGTAAAAATAATTTGGTCAAAGAGTCCTGGCTTCCTGTAGCTACAGTGTGTTCGTGAGAATGGCAGAGGTTACGTACCTTTAAGGAGTAGGGATGGACATTGAGGGGAAAAAAAAATCTCATCAGCTACTGTTCTCTAAAATTCCTTATTTTTGAAGCAGTAACTTTTTTTTTCTTTTTCATTTTTTTTTCTGAGACAGTTTACAAATATGCAATGCAACATACACTTCTTTTTTTGATATGAAAGAGATTTATTGGATGGAGGTAGAGAAAGGGAGAAACCCAGAGAGAGAGAGAGAGAGAGAGAGAGAGAGAGAGAGAGAGAGAGATGGGAGAGAAACCAAGGCAGAGAGAGTACAAGAGGAGAGAGCAACATACACTTTTTATTTTATTATTTGACTTATTATTATTATTTTACAATTTATTCACTTTTTAATCCCAATTGGAGCCCCCTCCCTCATCTCCTTCTGGTCCCATCCTCCCTCCCTCATCCCCTGCTGTTGCTCTCTCCTAGTCCACTAATAGGGGAGGTCTTCTTCCCTTCTGTCTGACCCTAGCCAATCAGGTCTCATCAGGACTGCCTGGATCCTGTTCCTCTATGGGCTGGCTAGGTCACTCTTCTTGGGAGAAGTGATCAAAGAGCAGGCAACCAAGTTCATGTCAGAGACTCTATCTTCTCCCCTTACTAGTGTGCCCACATGGAGACTGAGCTGTCTACAAAGGTACACTTCTTTAAAACCCAAATAGAGCATACTGTACAAACTATTGTTTTTCTCTAAGACTGGTACTTAGACCTTATTTTCTGTCTAGATATGAGACAAATCCCTTCTGGGTCTTCATTTGTTACAAGTAGGTCTTAATTTTATTTTAAATGTTGCCCGATTTGTAACATTCAATATCTTTAAGGTACTGAACCATGGATCTGAAAGTGTTAATTCGTACCAGAATTATGTGGTAACTCCTAATAACACAGAAGCTTGGACTTCATTCAGATGTGATTCTACCTTCCGTAGTGAATGAGTTCCATTTTTTAACATGTGGTGCTGTCTTTTGTAATAGATTTGCATGCTTGGCCTTCGCCCTTCCAGCAATGCAGTTGACATGTTGTCTTCCATTTAAGTAGTCTTCAAACCAGGACACACTCATGAAATGTTGGAAAATTAGAAGGAACATAATGCCTAAAAGACCAGGTCAGTCCCCTGGGCTCAGCAGGACCGAGCTTCCCTCCACCACTTCCTCTCAGAGGCTTGGCCTTTCTCTTCCTCAAACCACCTAATCCAACAGGCCCTCTGCCACTTCTCTGGCTCCTTATTTAAGTAAACTTTGTTCAGTTTTAACTTGAATATTTATGGAGGGGCCCTGGTTAGAATTTACCACTTGACTTATTTCTACTTATTTCCTCCTGGTCCCCAAGGATCGTTTTGGTGGTCATAGTGGTGTGGTGGTTCTCTCACATCACTCAAAGAATGTCAGATGAATTACAGTTTACAAACACCTGCAGGGATGACCAGCTCAGGAGCTCTGCCAAGAAGAGATGGTAGTGGGTTTCTGCTCCTCACTTCCTTTTCTGGAAATGTGGAGCACAAAATACTGTTAGTTTTCTTTGCTATTTTCCTTGCTTTCTATTTTTTTTTTATGATTGATGTGTGTGTGTATGGCTGTGTGGGTATAGACAATGCATCTTTGCCAGCTTGGCAGGCTAAGTGATGGCTCGTGCCATATGGGACATATACTCTAGAATTAAAAAAAAAAAATTACATTTGAGTTTTAGCTCTGCATTTCGCCATACCTATGACTTAGGCAAATCCCTTATCTTCACTGAGTCTCAATTTTCTTACCCAGGACACAGAAATTATAATCTTTGCCTACTCCTCAGAGCTGTTATAAATATTAATACAAAAGATTCTTTGTAAGCTGAAAAGCATTGTTTAAATGTAAGTTATTACTAACAACCAAAGGAGAAATCAAAACCAACTGAAATGCCAGACTTTCAAAGGAGGATACTAGCCAAAGTAAATGTGAGGTTAACTACAATAATGATAAGCTGAACTTGAATAAGGCAATGATGGTCATTAAAGTACACTCATTAAATATGACAAGAAGGAGGAGGAGGGGAAGGAAAAGGAGGAGGAGAAAGAGGAGGATGAGAAGGAGGATG